GAGGACAAGTATAACAACGTTTACGAGAACAGCGAAAAGTACCAGGTTCTTTGTTAGAGGGAAAAACTCCCTTGACCAAGAAAGAACGGAGATTACGATCACGTTTAAGTTTAAGTTTAAGTTTAAGTTCCTCCAACATGGCCGCCGTGAAAACCATCCGATACAATTGTTCAAATTGAAAGAGGAAAGCAGGAAAAGAATGTCGGAGCTAATTAACAAAGGAAGAAAATACTATTCGGTAATCCACCATTGAAGTTGACATGAAACTTGAAATCAAATTTGAATTACGTTTTTTTACGGAAAAACTGCACTACACGACGATAAAAATACAGGTTATAAAGTACAATATTTACATTGGGGATAACCACAAACAACGCTAGCATCCTCTCCATGACTGCAATCATGTGATCGCCATCCATTATGTGAACATTGACTCAGAGAAGTTTCAGTTCCTTGACAGTAAACATTATCCATCCAGATTGGACCACTTCCCTGACCAAAGAATGCGCTTTGTAGCGCACTAGTAGCACTTGGTAGACCCAGAGAACGACAGACCACTTTAGCATCGTAAAGATCCCAGGCGTCATCACAGACCGTTCCCCACTGACCATTGTAGAAAACTTCTACACGACCTACATTTCCATTTGATCCTCCAACAAGACGTAATGTGTCTATAAAAAGTATACAAATAGTCTTTTTCTTTTAATATATTTTAAAAATGAAATGAGAAATGCCGTTAACAAAGAATTTAATTACTAGATTATTATTAGTTGTAGCAAAAATATATCTTCAAATATATACTTGAAAAGTTCTTGAAGTTTATACATGTTTTAAAGAAATGAAGAAAGCTAAAAAAGAAAAATATTCGCAAATATAATAAAAAATAATATTTACATTGGGGATAACCGCATATAACACTTGCATCCTCTCCATGACTGCAATCATGTAATCCCCATCCACGATGTGAGCATTGAATTGGAGAAGATTCAGTTCCTTGACAGTAAACATTATCCAGCCATATTGGACCACTTCCTTGACCAAAGAATGCGCTGTGTGGCGCACTGGTAGCACTTGGTAGACCCAGAGAACGACAAATAACCTTGGCATCGTTAAGATCCCAATGGTCATCACAGATCGTTCCCCATGTACCATTGTAGAAAACTTCTACACGACCTTCATTTTCGTTTGATCCTCCAACAAGACGTAAGGTGTCTATAAAAGGAGATTTTTCATAATTAATTTCTGTTCTCAATTTTATCATGTGTGTAAAAAATGTTTCCTAAAAGCAACATAAAACGGCTGCTTATCTCTCTGTACTGCGATATAAAAGAACTGGGAGCTGCAGAGCACTCGAGAAGCAAGAGAGCACTCGTCTACGCATCGTCGTTAATCCTAAGGCTGCTTCTCTCGTGCTCCCAGCGTGTTTATATCATAGTACAGAGACATGTGCGCGCGTTCTATTTTCTTATATATATGAATTCCTATAAATCTTCATCAATTGTTCTTTTGTGTAGCATCTGCCTCATGGCAAATTATCTAAATAAAATAAATAAAATAATATCAAATCGACTGGTTTTCATGTAGGCCATGTTATATGTTTGACCAATGTTCACGGTAAAAGGTTGTGGCTCCCAACCCTAAAACCGAAGTAATCAAAGAGATTCTAGATATGCATGCTTTACTATGATACCAACCAAGAACATGCGTAATAAATAAATTACGAGCCTTAGATGAAACGACTGAAGAAGAGTGCCATACAAGCCTTTCACAACTTCAAGTCGCGTAAAAAATGAGCCAGCTCAACTAGAAACTGTGGACAGCTGTTTCGGCCTGTATTGGGCCTCGTCAGCACAGTGTATCTAGTGAGCTGGCAATCCCACGAAAAAGTAGTACTAGATAGATGTGGCAGTGCGCCGTGTGGGATGGGCTCGGATATGATACCAACCTTATGGTTACTATTCGTTTCATATCGTGCACTTACATTGTGGTAGGGAGCAAATAACACTTGCATCTTCTCCATGACCACAGTTGTGTGTTCCCCAGCCACCATGTGAGCATTGACTCAGTGAAGATTCAGTTCCTTGACAGTTAACATCGTCCAGCCATATTGGATCACTTCCTTGACCGAAGAATGCGCTGTGTGGCGCGCTTGTAGCTCTTGGTAGACCCAGAGAATGGCAGACCACATTTGCATCGTTAATATCCCAAGAATCATCACAGACTGTTCCCCACTGACCATTGTAGAAAACCTCTACACGACCACTTTTTCCATTTGTTCCTCCCATAATACGAGTTCTCGCTGCAAAAAAAGCTTAACATCAGTGATATATATTATGTTTGATTTTAAGTTTAAGTTTTTACTACTTAGTAACTCAGTAGTGTATGTCAAAAAAGACGTTTTTGAGTTTATATCTCCAACTTTAGTTCCACCGAATGAGGAGTTAAAACCAAAATGCAAATGCAAGAAACTTAGCAAACACTTAATGGAAAAAAGCAAAAATATTTTAAAAAATCAAGTTTTCATAAGTGAATGAAGATGCCCACACGCAAAATTGCAGGAATAAAATAAAAGGACGCAAAGTCAACAAATGATGACAGTTTTGTTTCCATTAACCCTGCATTCCCATGAGGTTGTATTGGTTGGTTATCGGCTTACCATCCAGTGAGCAAACTAAAATCGCAATATGAAAATTGCGGTGTCATAAGTCAATTTTTCAGATAAACTCAAAGCTGTTTTTCAAAAATAGTTATAATAACTAGTAAATTTGAAATTTTAACTTCGTGACTTGAAATAATTCTTAACTATACAAATACTCACAGGCAGGTAATCCACAGATAACACTAGCATCTTCACTATGCCCACAGTTGTGTGTTCCCCATCCACCATGTGAGCATTGACTTGGAGAAGTTTCATTTCCATGACAGTTAACATTATCCAACCAGATTGGACCACTTCCCTGGCCGAAGAATGCGCTGTGTGGCGCACTTGTAGCACTTGGTAGACCCAGTGAACGGCAGACCACATTAGCATCGTTCAGATCCCAATGGTCATCACAGATCGTTCCCCATTGACCATTGTAGAAAACCTCTACACGACCCTCATAGAAAGATGATCCGCCAACCAGACGTACACTGTAATAACTTCCTGTTTGAAACAACCAAAAAAATTTGTTAAATTTATGCAACTGAGAAAACCAGTTATTCAATATGGTTGAAATAACCATATTTATTGGTCATTGAACATATGGTTATTCTAACCATAATAATATTGGTTATTATAAACAATTAAGAGCGACTGTCTGTAAAAATCAAACATACGTCGGAAAGGCTCAAATTTTCGAATTCGCTCTACTTTTGGATTTTAGTAGTGTATGATGAAGTACGAAACGCTGTGTGGTTAGTTTTGAAAAATACCTTTTAGTTTTCGAGAAAAAGGGAAAAAGCGGTTTGAGCTCCAGGGACGATTTTCGCTGCCAAAAGATGGCTGAAAATTGCTTACTTTCGCTTGGTCCGTGTATCAAAACTATTGATCCAAATAGCCTTCTAATACTTTCTACCAAAAGTACAACTCTTATTTGCTAAATTAAGAGTAGTTTCATAAAAATCGAACAACTCAGAATTATTTACACAATAAAAAGCAAAGGGCACTGAGTTACAATACTTGTCAGTGCATCTCGAAAACTGCGAGTTTCCCTATGTGCCATCCTTCCAAATCTTATGAAATTATAGTCAACAACTATTGGGAAACTGCTCTTTTGAAAAATGTATTTTTTATTTTGGGGAAA